ACTGCCGTATCACCTGCAGAAGAACCCACACCTCATATCATGAGTTGTAGCTTTCACAATCTCCTGGCCCCTTCTGTGCTTGCTCAGTTATCCCAGTTTCTTGGGGCTGGAGCAGGATGTTGCCAGGGATACAGGACTCAGAACACATGCGTTCACACTGCTGTTGTGACCCAGAAAGCTTCCCTACCTGAGCCTGTCAGTTCTGCTGCAACTGGCAATTTCCGTCAGTGTTAAATTGGTTCCTCTGTGACTACCTCCTTATCTATCTGGACATCCTTTGCCTGGAAACCAGACATCTTTTCCCACCTTCTTTCCCACTTTCTCCTTTAATGTGGCTGACACTGACCCCACTGTGGACCAAACCTGCACACTCAGGGAGCTGGCTTATTGCCATCTGTGTTTCTTGCCCACATATCCAGCTGTGTGTCAAAATCCCCGCATGCCTCCTGTGCTGGCATCCTGGTCTGCCCCTTACTTCAGCCTATGGAGGGCTCTACGTCCAGCTGGGTTCCAGCTCCCACTGCCACCATTCCCCACAGCTGGAGTCAAGAGGTGGCTCTCATCTCCTAGGCCCCCTCCTCTCTGCTGGCTCAGCCCATACAGCTCCCAGAAACAGCCTTGATCTGGGGCTTGAGGGAACTGTCCTCTTTAGCATCCTCTCTGTGTCTCAGCATTAAGCCTCTCCTGCTGCCTACCTGCCCTGGTTATGGTACTCCGGGTGGGCCTGGTCTATGCCCTAATGAAGTTGTGGGACATGGTCCTTCTGACTGGGCATCTGTCTTCTCTGTTTCCTGGGATATCCAGTCACCATGGCAACCTTGTCTGGGGGCCCGAGCCCTTCTAGCCTCATTGTGTTCCCTTTCATGGCATGGAAGCCCTGACCTTGAAAGCCAGCCCTGGCTGCAAACCTGTACTTACTTGCAGACATTGCTAATGCAGCCATGTTCTCAGTGGTCCCCTGCCTCATGCTCACTCCCTACAACCCTTTCTCCACAAATGCTTTTCGCTGGCCTCTGCCCACTCTCCAACCTAATTTCCACCCATCCGTGTCCCTCTGCATGGAATGCTCTTTTCCGAAATCCTCATGAGGCTGGTTCTGTCTCATCATTTATTTCTCAGATAAATATTGAGCTCTGAACGAGTCTAATTTTCTTCATAGCACTCACCACATCCGAAAGTATATATTTTTTTTTAAATTGTGGTAAAACCCACACAACATAAAATTTACCTTTATCCATTAAAAAGTGTGCAATCCAGTGATATTTAGAATATTCAAAGTGTCGTGCGACCACCACCTCTGTCTTGTTCCAGAACATTTCATCTCTCCACAAGGAAAGCCTGCATCCATTAAACAGCTACTCCTGGTCCCCTCCTCCCCTCGGCCCCTGGCAACCACTGATCTTTCTGTCTCTATGGATTTATGCTCCAACCCTCCCCCACCACCTCCTTACTTCTGACTCTGTTTCCTGGGTTGTGGTCCGTCTCTTCCATTAACCTGAAAGTGCCATGAGACTATGGGTGTTGCTTGCATTATTTCTGTCTAGGAATATGGTGTGTGGCAGCAGGTGGGCAGGGGGTGGGGTGAGTAGCCGCTAAGACCCTTGCATGTGTTGTGTGTCAGGGGGTCTTGATTGAAGGGACAAGTATTAACATTTCTTTTTGAGTGAAAGGCTATGTGCTGTGCAGTGTGACCCCTACTCTAGACCTTGAAAATCTTGGTGAAAGTATAAAAATCACAATATGCTCATGTTTTGGGATATATTATAAAAGTCGACATACAATCTATAATATGTAAGTAATGGCAAAGCTGTCACCCTTTCACTCAGACTTATAACTCATTTAATT